ACTTCTACACACTTCACGGCGAAGTCCTCATTCTGTGACGATTCCAAGAGCAAAACCAGGTTTTTGCGTCGGTGAGTGCACAAACCTAGCGTACGCAAGATCCACATCCATTTCGCACGGCGATGCCGGACAGCGATGTGGAATGTCCTTACGTTGAAGAACACATCGTAACATACCCTTACAAGGGTTTCAGAGTAAATGGTGCAACCCCCTACAGGCCCCACATGTTTCTTGGATGGCGGCCATATAAACCACCTTTTGGGGATTGTGCCATCTACTTTGAACCCACTATATCACAGTGGAACCCACCCCCCCAAAAAAAGCAAAGCAACTCATACCATGTTGCCGCTTCGGACGAGGGGTTCCACATCAAGGGAGCAGCATGTGGTAGTCGGTGTGGATATGTGCAGCCCTTCGTGCCGAGGCCATATCATGTGCAGCCCTTAGTGTTTGGCGCGCCATGACCGACAGCCATGTTGAAATTGCAAGGGACCCAAAACTATGTGGCGCCAAATGCCATGACTTTATTAAGAGGCCTTTTTGGCCGCCCGAGTCGAGATCTCCAATGAAACATGTAGTTTGAGGCAACATTCACAGGTGCATGTCACATGCTGCCACATGCTTGTATAAGCTTTTCTCATTCCAAAGCAGCTTGGCGGGCTGCGCCACTGGTTTGTTACCCCAGCCGGTGGACTCGTGGAATACACGAGGTCTACGGAATCCTGTACTGCCTCATCGGCTTCCTGGCTCATCCGGGTGAGAACTGTTGACGAGCTGACAGGTTGAGCGCTTGCTCCGTCCAGGTGGGGCGACTTTTGGCGAACGTCGCCCACACAGAAACGAGGAACGCGAAGAACTGAGGTTGGTTTGGAGATCTCCAAAAGGTGATCAAAAGGTGATAAAAAGACAACATTGTCCACCGAGGTTGTTTTGGAGAACTGAAGTTGTTTTGGATTTATACAAACATTGACATCACAAAAGGTGATCAACAGTCTGGCATAGGCATGATAAGCAAGCGGACGTACACTCCCCGTAGGCATAATACTGGTTTGTCGTAGGCACTTGCCGCAGGCAACTTTTTTTCCGGATGTTTGCTTGCAGCAGTCCATTTTGAAACCCCAAAACTACGTGCAGGGAACCCTTTGCTGAGGCACTGAGGACAGGGAAAAAGATTTCCTTTCAGGAATTAGTCTAGGACATGGAGACTAGACACTCTTGGTATGTGTTCAATGAATTCCATGGCATGTTTAGAGGCTCAGAGGCCATACATCATTTGCAGCTTTTTGTGCGGAACTTGCACCGTACGTTCTGCGTAAGTATCCCGTAGGCGAAAATGCTTCTCGTGACCCTTGGCCCACTCTTTATCGATTTGTAGTAGATGTGAATCGTCACTGGGATGTGGTACGGCTGCAGCAGCAGCAACAGCAGCAAGCAGTCAGAAGCCAGCAGCAGGAAGCAGCCAGCAGCCAGCAGCAGCCAGCAGCAGCAGGAGTCGCCAGGAGTAGCAGTAGGAGCAGCAGCACCAGCAGCAGCAGCAGGAGCAGGAGCAGTAGTAGCAGTAGCAGTAGCTCAACCTTGTAGAAAAACAGGTTCCACACTCTACCGTAGGCACAAGCCAGCAAAGTTGAACCAAAACGTCACGTTCGTAGGCTTCTCCGTAGGCAAGGTCCTAGTTTACCACGGGCCTACCGCAAGATAGGATGTCATAAATATTCTTGACATCAGAAGGCTGCGATGAACAAAAGCCTAGAATAACAGTTTTCCAGCTGCGTTCTGGTCAGTTTTTATTAACAGTTTTTTTCCTCCACCGCATAGCCTTTATTAACAATAACCCTGCTCATTTAGTCGTTGGAGCAAGAAGAATGAACACACAGTTGTCACAAACCGGGTCACTGGCTGTTGAGAGCAATGCAGTTGCACAAGGGCAGGATGTTAATCAAGTTCTCGCTTGACATGTGGCATACTCACTCTTTAATTCAATGGGAGAACTCAAGAGGCACTCGGAGCGACAAATGATCAACCTTATGCATGTTGTTGCTTGTTTTTGCTTGAAGAATGTCGCAAGTGAGAGCTTTTCCATTCTTTTCCTATTTTACCGTCCCTCCGCAAACTATGGACTGATATGATGTTCTCGCCGTTGAGGAACGTAGGCCTCAACCAAACGACAGCGATGGATTTCCAAGCTTCTAACTCTTTGCTTGCAGATGACGTATGCTGTGACGTGTGCCGAAAAAAAATGCTTACAGTGGTTTCAGAGTAGATGGCACAGACCTCAAGATGTCCTTTACATGGGGGTCATATAAACCACCTCTTGGGGTTTGTGCCATCTACTCTCAATCCACTATATTTTGTTTTTTTCCTTTTTGTGTCATGAACGATGTGTCCGGCCCAAGGCTTGGGTGCTGTAGGTGCCACTCTCGTCGCTTGGGCTGGAATCCGACTGAAGGCGGGAATCCGCATCCGCCGGAAGAAGGTGGGTTCAGAGTTTGGAAGAGTTCTTTGGGAGTTTGGAAGAGGTTTGGGTCTGGAAAAGATGAAAGGGACTAATGGCATCCAAGCACAAAATATAGAATACAAATTATGATTATATACTGGTATAGATACTTCACTGCTTCGCGGAGAACAGAGGTTGTGCTCAGCGGTGCTCATGTTATAGCCAGAATAGTTTGTCAGGAGTCAGGCATGGATTGCAGTGAAAGGGGCATGTACTCCGATTGCACTCACTTGCATTGGCTGCCTTATATTCAACCTGACGGCTGAGATCGAAGATGACAGCACTTACAAGGTCTATAATCTTTCTTGCCGTAAGTTCAGATGCAGAAGAAACAATTACCATCCAGTGGACCAATGCTTCACGCGCTCTTTTATAGAAACTGGTTCTAGCAGGTTGGAGGCCATCGCTTCTAGGTTGGAGGCCATTGCTGTTAGAAACAGGTTCTCTTGCATTTTTTCCCGCGGAAAGGTGTAGCAGTTGGTTCTCTTTTTAGTTATCAGTGATGTTAGCAATTTCTGTCGGACCCAACACGGCGAGGTGCGCAAAGCCACCGCGCCACCCTTCCGCCTCATTGAGTGACGCTCGGACGCCACCCGCCGCGGCGCCACGGAGCCTTTTAAAGATCACGTACTCGAGACAAAACAGACGGGAATTGGGAAGAGCCAGCTGCCAAGCCTTTTGACTTCCCCCAGAGATGTCTATTGGCTTCTCCGGGTTCTCTATCGTATTCCAACTTGTGGGTGGATTCAAATCAGAGTTCCACCGCTAGATCAGCTGAGGTTATGAGTTCATGTTTTGGTGGCCAGTGCAAGGCGTAACTTGGGCAACGATGCCCGTGATTTTTGCTTGTGGGGCCATTAAGCTTTTGCTCCTTGGCACAGGAAGCGGCTTGGGACTGATTCCAAGAGGTTGGGCGGTATGAGACCCTAAGATATTTTGCAATTTTAGAGGGTAGAACAGCATTGTCGTCGTGGTTCGAGGGGTGTGCACAAGTTAAAAGCCAGCCGATGTGTAGCTCAACTTTTGCCCAGCCAGTCCAAAGGATTTATTTTGACCTGCTCATTAATTCTGCCCTGCTTGGCAAGTGTGTTTGATGGCTGCATTCCATTTGGTGGCTTTGACCGAGAGGTCAGCAATTCCACAAACCCCTCAACTCAAGTTGCGATCAAACCGCAAGTGACTTTGGTTTACCTGGTTCGCTACACCCTTTGCGAGGCTCTACAGTCATGCAGTATTTGGGTGTGCCTTCAAGAAACTTCAACCCGGCAACTGGCAAGTGTTGGATGTGTTTCACCACCGGGAAAGCAGACTTACCCTACCTGGATGGCACCCAGGCGCCTTTACTTCTGCCGCTTTTGCCCAGGTTGGATCCGCAGTTCAACTTCACAGGGTTCATTCCGTGTACGTACTCCCAGTGCCTGGGCAGGGATGCCGGGTATTATGGAAGGCTCATGCCACTTGTCATGCTGGTCTCGCAAGGCATGTTGGGAATGTTTTTTTTTGTGATATCTAGTCTATATTTTTAATAGCACCCACCGGACAAAGAACAATAAAACATGAGAAAGATATGGAAAATTGGAATGCATTATCTTTATACATCTTCATTCCTCTGACATGCTTCTCTCAAACGGGCAGGCCAGGCAGCCCCTTTGCGGGATGCTCAGCTGAGGCTCTTTGCATCTGCTCAGTCTGATGAGAAGGAGTCAGACCGTTGCCGTGAGGGGCGTACCGGCACATGCTTCCTGCTGGGGGGGGCTGCTTGGCGACGTGAGCGCTTTTCGGTGTTCCAAATGGCAGACTGGGACGTCCTAGCACCGAGGCCTCCAAATCACTGGAATTGGTTGTGCGCCCCGACGTCACATTTGAGGGAAATGGTCCAAAAGCGGCACTCCCGACGTGGGCACCCTCCCAGCTAAACAGCTGTAGCATCATCCTTCACTGCTCCCGCGAACATCCAGTGGTAAGAGTGCAGGGATGTGGAAGCACCATTTTACAGTAAACCAGCGACACACAAGAACCTGTGTGGAGGTGTATATATCATATATATATATATATATTGTATGTTCACGCAGTACTGCGGTACGGTGGGCTTTCTTCTATTGACACATTGGGCTCTGCAAAAAAAAGCAACGGTGGGCTGGTGTGCGACCCAAAATGTGCACGCGTTGGGCTGCCTCAATCTAAAACTTTACAAATCAATGCAAACAACATAATTAACACAACTTTTATTGTTCCGCTCAAAAAAACAACAGTCATAGTAAGCCAGAGGTCATGCTGCACAACCTTGTTTGTGCATGACTTGTTGGGCTCTTGTGAGAGTTTACAAACAACTATATCTAATTTGATTCTGCATAACAAATCCAGCTTTTCACCAACAACTGTTCATAGTGTAGTGGTTGTTGCTTGGGTCGAAATCAACATAAATCAACTCCTTACCAAAAGAACGCATGGTGAGTGCTCAGATTTATGCACAAAATTTATCCCGTTTTACTCTTCGAGGCTGCTGATGATGGTCTCTGGAAGTCGCTTGGTGATCCCTCGCCTCCGAGAAGTGGAAGAACAATTTCTCTTGCAGCAGCCCACTCATTTGCTCAGCACCTCGGTCTTTTGTGTCTTTTTTGTCCGTTAAGGCTTGCTGGGAGGCAAGGCTTGGATGGCTGCATGTCAGCTCACTAGTGCACACCATGGATTTGACTACATGGTGCTCATGAAGCTTCCCCCCCGAACAAAAAATCGGGACAAGCGTTCCTTTGTGATTGCAGCAACATTTTCATATGATCCTTTGGGTAGCATGTGCTGGTGAAGTAGTGTGGCACCTTTGGGTTGCGCGTTGTGAATGGAAAAGTTCAAACATGTATATATTATACATATATAGTATATTATATAGATCTGGTTGTTCATCGGAACAAACGGCGGCCAACAAAACAGCCAACAGTATGTTGTCGCCATGCATCCAATGTTACTCCTGGAACCCATCTAGACCAACAAGAACAAAAGTGTAGAGTAGTAGAGTGGAGCTCCTGACATGCATGTGTTTGGCTTCTCACCACCAGTACGCAGGTGCCGATATCAGTTCAGCCTGCACCAAATGTTGAGACCTTTGGCAGGAAACATGTTTCCTCACAAAGGCTTCGCACCAGTCTTGGCACCCTGTTTGTCAACAATCAACCTATATCAGTGCACCATTCAACGAAGAGGCGAAGGGAGGGCAGGGAGGGCAGCCTCCCATGGCTGCCCACAGCGAGGTCGGGAAGGCTTGACCTTGCGAGCTGAACAGCGGCAACAAATCAGGACGTGCGGGCTGCTGCGGGCGGCTGCGTGGGTCGGCCCGTTCGCACCGGCGCATGAGAGCGCATGTACACCCTGGTGTCGACGATCACCCTGAAAACCATTTTCCAAGGGGCCAGGACGTTAGGGTCCACGTGAGTTTTCGGGAGTGTATTGATGGACATTGGCGTACTTGGACCGCTTGGACCGAAACGGCCGTGCGCAGCGCAGGAATGTGCCCATTCGGTGGAAGCGTGCCCATCTCATTTTCGTGAGACGCTTGGATCCAAAGTGATCGCACCCCTGAGTCTCAACATGGCCTATAGTGATGTTCCGTCACATGCGAAAATCTGTGTGTGTGAGGCCATCAGGTGTTAGCTGTAGATGCTCCAGAATATCAAGAGTCAAGTTGTGGATCTTTCCTGTATACTGATTCCTTTTTCAGGAAACCATAAATAAATATATATATATATGTATAAATATATATGCAGATTAAAAGCGTGCACCCTCAACTTATCGACTTGGAAGCTTGAGTTGATGCGGATCTCGGCCGTTTTCAGGTGCCAGCCCATCCTTTCCTATCCCAGCAGCAACAGATCAACATTATAGCTTATTGATCACTGATTGTTGTTTTTTGGGTTGCTTTCACCTGTGGGCATTACCTACATGCGCCTACATGCCTCTACCTATATATATATATACATATATATATATATCTATCTATAAACCTGCATTGAATATGTTACATGCATCGAGCGGCTGCAGGTATGTTCTTGGTCTTCCCCTTGACTGTGCTGTGGGAATTCACCTACTGCGATTTCTTCGGAGAGAACGCCCTGCCGCGCGGCCCTGCAACGGTGTATGTGGTGAAAGAAGCTTCGGCCCTCATTGATGCAATCACAGCAAAACCATCCTCTAAGAATCTCTAGGGGGATTGTGTCTCACCGTTGGCCTGACGGTTTTGGCCGGTGGATCGTTGGTCCATGTTGCTCTCACTGGTTCCAACGGATAGGTACGCCATGGTGGTTTGCAATTGTGCAGTCATTCCTGCTTTCAACGACCTTGCGACCACTATATAGGGTTTCAGTCTTGAAGTTGCAGAAGACATCAATACGAGGACACTATCCGGCGTTGCCTTTGATGGACCGAAACCCTAAACATGTGATTTGTCTCAGAGCTGGGGCACGAACATGGCAGGTATTTTATCATTGGCTTCAGCTTTGCCATGAACTTTGTCGACAATGCCTTGTCCAGGCCCTGAGACGCCAATAATGTTGGCAGATTAGCCCTGGACCCTGCGGACGTGTAGCTTATGACCTAGGCCTAGCTCTCAGGTTTTAGTACCTCTCCAGCCTCTAGGTGTAAGATATGCACAGTAGTGCACAGTATATATATATATATATTGTAAATACTTTCATGTACATACAGTAAACATTGGGTGGGGCTTTGCTTGGACTTGCCACTAGCCATGATAGAGGTTAGGTAGGGTCAGCCTTGACTTGGGTTAAGTCCAAACTAAGTACTATAGTTGGCTCGTTTGAGGCTTAGCTTTGACGCACCAAGTCCTATATAGCTCATTTCTCTAGTCGAGAGCTTCAGTTTTGAGGCAATTCATATGCTTGATGTTCGGAATCTACACCGATTAGGCTAAGATGTGCTAACTCTTACAAGTGCTAAGCTTAGCAGCGGGGGCGTCCATAGTCATTGGGTCGCCCAGTCCATTTGGTTAACTTCGCCAGGGCTGTCCGTGAAGAACTTGTCCAAGTGCCACTCTCAACTGCCTGCAGCGTGGTGCTTTTCGTGGGTGTCTTGGAGAACTTTCCTGAGGACTTTTGAGCATCATATCCCTTGCCATATAATGTTGGATCCTGATTAGTAAAGGGGGGTCCCCCCCCCTCCCTCAAACAAATTGGGTTCCTCTATAATAAATTACCACCAAAACAAATCTGGATTCCTGTCAGAATTCCTGTGAGAAAGCTGTCAGTTTTGAAGAAACCTAGGGAAAACTATATCAGCTAATGAATCATAATCATTGGCCTCAGGAGCTAAGGAAAGGAAGATTACATGAGCATTTTTTTCCAGTGGCATTTTTTGTTCAATTGAGAACCCAGAAACAAATCTATTGTTGAGGATCAGGTGCCTTCCTGGTCTACTACCTTGAAAATTTGTTTTGGAGCAATGTTTTATACAGGGTTTAATTAGGAATTGGTGGTTTTGGTCAGCTGTCAGTTTTGAAGAAACCTAGAGAAAGCTATATAGCTAATGAATCATAATCATTGGCCTCAGGAGCTCAGGAAAGGAAGATTACATGCGCAATTTTTTCCAGTGGAAAAAACTTTTCACAATTGAGAACCCAAAAAACAAATCTATTATTGAGGATCAGGTGCCTTCCTGGTCTACTACCTTGAAAATTTGTTTAGGAGCAATGTTTTATAAAGGGTTTAATTAGGAATTGGTGGTTTTGGTCAGCTGTCAGTTTTGAAGAAACCTAGAGAAAGCTATATCAGCTAATGAATCCTAATCATTGGCCCCAGGAGCTAAGGACAGGAATATTCCATGAACAATTTTTCCAGTGGAAACAACTTTTCACAATTGAGAACACAAAAACAAATCTATTATTGAGGATCAGGTGCCTTCCTGGTCTACTACCTTGAAAATTTGTTTAGGAGCAATGTTTTATACAGGGTTTAATTAGGAATTGGTGGTTTTGGTCAGCTGTCAGTTTTGAAGAAACCTAGAGAAAGCTATATCAGCTAATGAATCATAATCATTGGCCTCAGAAGGAATTCAATCCCTTATTAATTAGGTTTCCAATATTAAAAAAATAGCACTTTTTCAAACAGGGGGTGCTGAATGATTTTGGAAAATTTTAGCATTATTGCGGACCGGTTTACTAATCGTGATCCAACATTATGGACCACCACCACCATTTTGGTAGGTTGGATGTCGTATGCTTCAAGAATGTCCCGAAACTCAGATGTTCCCAAATATCGGTGTGGTCATGTTTGTTTTTTGTTCGTTTGGATACACATTTCACCCGCCTCGTTTGGATACATGCTAAGAATGAACCTGCATGGTCGGACAAAGAGGAACTGTGGCCCTTGCCTTCACATTGTCATGTTGTTTCGCAAGTTTTGTTTCATCGACGTCACTGAGAGCCACGCCCCAAGACAGGCACAGGTCCCAAAGGCGTTTGGTGCACTGGCGCCGGGCGCCACCCGGCGGTCCGCACGCCAAGTGATTTGTTTTCAGTCTTGCGATTTGTGGGTTCTTTTCCCCACAAGGTACCCTGGGCGCCGATGACTTCGTGGACTTCTGCGAAGGCGCGTAGCGGCCCAGGATTGGCACAGATCCGGTTCTTGGTGAATCAGTTGGGTTATCCTCTCACCCAGAATTTGCATGTCTATACCCCGATGAGTATCAATGTTGCCACCCAATCAGGCACCTTTCGCTCTATACTGTCCTAAAAGCCAAAGGGATCGGAATTTCATCGATCATGAGCTGTTCTGGGATCGATTGGGCGGTGCTTCTTGACGGGAACATCTTGACGCAACCCTGGGATGCGAACGGCCACTGCCAGTGGCGTCGAAGGGGGCGCTCGGATTCGCTGTTCGTCGAGTCGGAGTCGGAGGCACGGGAGGTCGTTAAGATGAAGCGCTGCAACTCAAGCGCGTGTGTTGGGTAGAACTTGCAGCTCTCAAGTCATCAAGTCTGACCATGTGAAGCCATGAAGTTCGACAGGTCGCCAGTCACAGTGGCCCAAAAAGGCCAAACAGATTCCCATTCTAATCCATTCTCCTTCGCCCTTCAGATCCGGCTGGTTGCGCTCGCTTCTGCGAGGCTTCTTCCTGGAGCTATTGTATGGTATTGCCGAGCGGCTGATCCTGGGGACCCTCTTTGAGGCGCCACAGCCGAGCAGCGGGCGGTGCGGCTGCGCATGTGCTTCCCAGAACCTCCAATCAACTCGCAAGACGGCCAGCTTTGCATGGTCGGAATGAAGTTTGCATGGGGTTGAGGATGGCATTTTCGCGAAGCTCTCAGGATTTGGCAGAGTTGCTCTGGTTCGAGCAGCCAGCTTCCAAGTGATCAACCCGACTATGATCGACTGTGGGGGATCCGGTTCTGGTGATGTTCAGGTGCTTTTCCAGTGCTGCGCACGTTCACCGCCTGTTCTTCCATCCGTTTCTCTGTCCCGAGACGCGTGTGATCCGCGTGGGGCGGATCGCCACGCTGGGAGGCCATCGAGAAGGGTGTTGCTTATGGAGTGCATTGGGCAAAGCATCTCGGATGTGACCTCATGGGATTTCATATGCCCGACACAGGTCTCAGTGTGCTCTACATACACGTCAATCAGATGGCCGTTGACATGTGGAAAACTGCTGGCCGCATACACGTCGGAAGTCTTGCGTCCTTCCTGCTCTCCCAGAGTCATGTTAGACATCTAGTCTATATTCTAAATTATTCTATAGTAATTATTATATAATAGTCATATAATTTGATAACAGTATAGGAATCCGCGCGACACATCGAACACTGGACATGGCAAGAAAACCTTGGGGATGTCCATTGGCTTGAGCCGCCAGCTTTTACCAGCTTTCGCCACACGGATCGTTATGACTCGGCCAGACCCAAGGACCCGCTCCTGGTTCTGGAGAATTACCTTGCTGATGACTGGAGGCCGGAACGAATCTAGGTACTGTGATACTTTAAGTATTTTTTATCGCGGACAGTTGAAGCAGTGAGCACAGCATAGCAGTTATCTTTAAATTGGAGGAACAACGGTTGTCCTCATTCCTCATCCCTTCCACCACAGAAATACAGAAAGCTTTGCCATCAAACATCCATCAGCAACTACCTGGTACCTTTTTGAGCCGTCGATACCCATCGCGCTGCCCGATCGGTTCCACTGCAAGTGCAGGAAGATCAACGCGGGCTTTGCTGATGAATGAGGGCAAGGATGATGAGGCCGGAGACTGGCAGCTTATAATATGATTTCCACCATGCGCCACCCCGGTGTGACGTTTCAATCTCCTTTCGTGAAATGCATTCTGAAGCGTAGTTTGGCAGAATAAGTGTCGTTTCAACATCGCACCTCCCTTTAAGATGTGTACTTATTATGATGTTCGATGATTTGGTTTAACACCGTTTTTTGTGTTGTTTTGTGCCGTTTCGCAAGAGGCATGCTTTGCATGAAGATCTTTATTCTCTTTGTGGAAAGACAACAAGCCGTAATAAACCCAAAGAAGTGCCGCGTCGTTCAAAAACTATTGTTTTGGGTGACGACAAGAATTTCACATACTTTTGAGGATGCAGTGATTGGACCTCCGGCACCATGTTTCTTTCCGGTCATTGGATCCAGCCGAACCCGGCCGAAGCCAAGCTCCATTCTGGGCTCAGTTGAGCACCTCTTGAGATCCCAGTCTAAGACCATGTGACCTTCCAGTGGCCCTTGAAGCTGGTCGTACTAGACTAGACTCACTGTTCGGTGGTCACCATTCGTATCACCACCATGTTTTTAATTTTTTTTGCGTATGTCCACGCCAGGAGATCTCACCTGAGGAGGCTGTGGGACTTGGTGATTTGGAAGTGGTGCGTGTGTCCAAATCTGGGTGTTTAGGCAATTGGGTAACCTACAAAACCTTGGGAGCCAGAGCCATTTTCCCAAGAGATTAGTTCTGTACAGTAGTTGCACATTTCATCTCCGATGCCTGAAATGGACGATTATTGGTTTAATCACATGAGTCACCGCACGCACCTGCCCCTGCCGCAGATGGTGCAAGAGGGGACGCCAATTGAAGAGGCCATGGAAGAGGTGATCGGATGTGGCACCACTTGCATGAGCCGCATGGCTGGCATGGCTGGCATATGCTGGCATAGCAAAAAGGGGTTGAGGTGTGAAATGCCAATGCTGGGATGTTTGAAAGCTCAATGGCAGTTGCAGCTACATCCGACACGATAGGAATGGTCCTTTGATTGCCCCATAAAACTTTGACAACGTTTATACATATCCAACAACATCCAAGCACCCAGTCCCACAACTTCCACTTGTTTTTCCTGTGAATCACTCAGCAGTAATTGAACTTGATATGAATAGCATTGAATAGCATCAAACCGGACTATGCTTCATCGACCAATCGACCGTATCTTCAGGTACCATCATGACGCCCTTCATTATTGCTGCCATCTACGTGTTTGCCCAAGAGACAGAAATCCCAGTGCTGCTTGGCCTTTCTATGTGGGGAGGTTTTGAGGCCAAGGGAGAAACCAGGTCATTGTGGGAGGCTCGAGATTTCCAGATTCGGAGCCACTGAGGGAATATGATATCCGGAGCAGAGACTTGGTGTGCTACCTCCTCTTTGGTATCATCATCGCACCCTTTCAGGCATGGGTTCGGCTTTTTGTGCGCCTGCCGGCACTTTCGTGGCTGGAAAGAGCCAAATTTGCGATGTGGCACCCTCCCCTCCCCGCTGTCAGTGTTCATGTGCTGTAATATCTGTAATCTTCGATTGCATCGGAGCGAAGCGCCCACAAGTGGCCATGGCTCCTGATTTTCGCCGCTCCTGATTTTTCGCGTGCCGCTGGGCCTTCAGGTCATGATGGACATCCTCATGAACCATGCAACTTGACGCAGCCAAGCAGCCGGGCAAACCCACGGTGTGTGCGCCTGAAGTTTTTTGAATCCTGGCAATGGCTTGTTGCCAAAAGGGTTTTGTAGCGGCTGAACGGTTGCGGCACAAGCCAAAAGACTGCCCATGCAGCGCCCATGCAGCGCATTCCACTTGCCTTTTGAAGAACAGTGTCAGTGAAGAAACATCTTTTTGTGGTGCGCGCATGGACGGACTCTTTGCCCAAGAACGGCCTCCAACATCGCGACTGGAAGGCGTGAGAGTGAGCGCACCAAATCACTCGACTGGAAGGCTCCTTTTCAGGCGGAGGTGGAGGCCCTGGAGGTGGATGCCCTGGACGAAGAAATATAGGACCACCTTCCTGAAGGGATTTGAGTCGGTTTTTACTTTCCTGCAATGGTTTGGTTTGGGTTGGAAATTCTGGTGAAATCCTTATCTCCAATGGGTTGATTTAAGTTTCAATGCAGTTCTTTTTTCTGGTGAGATGTTGTTTTGCTGGGCTTGCGACCCGGCCCAGGATGAGTCGGAATGATAGGCGTGCTTCGAGCTTTTGTTGAAAGAGCTAAGCAGCTAAGGCTACTGAGCTTCAAAACAATGTACGCATCTATGACTACATGCTGTACTCCAAGTGCCTTGCTCAGATGATCTCAGATTCTTTGGTCACCCAACATTCGGTGGTTTTAGGCGTTTGACGCCTTGATGAGATGAAGAAGAGCACACAGAGGGCTATAGTAGGCAATTATGAGATAGAATTTATTGATTTTCAGTATTGTTTTACAACTCCTATCTCATTTTTACCTAGTATAAGATGTATACGTCTAGAATCTAGAACATGCCGCCCATTGCTTCGATCGATTTGCCGCCATTGGTCGCTCCGCAGGTGGCGATGGCGGAATCGCGTGACCCGCTCCTCGGTGAGACGTTTTCTCATCGGCCAGGGCTTTGGGGGGGACGAGTTTTCATAGCCAGTGATAGGTGGTTTTGGGGACGAGTGTTCAGTGCAGGAAGCTCAGAAGTCCAGCATGCCTTTACACCTGGTGAACTCTTTGCGAACCTTGGGATGGATGATATTGGAAGCCTTGCACCTATTATACTGTAAGGCTTGGCGGTTGCAGCTGTGGTGGTGCTTGTGCCTGTCCAGCATGCCTCCAAATGGTTGACGTACCCCGTCCTGAAGAAAGGACGCCCCTATACAAGCACCATTATATAATGCTTATATTTGGGCGACTTGCCGTACCTTAACATTGTACTCCAATCCCACCACAGATTTTTGCCGACCACCTGGGGAATCCCGTCCGCCGTTGTACAAAATCAGCCATTGAGTAAATAGATAATAAGGCCTAAGACACCAAGGTATACCAAGTTTTGGGTAGTTTTTTAGATACTGGATACCCTTCACTTCGTTTCACTTCGCTCGAGGAAAGAACCACATCTTTTTGTGCCATAGGTTTCCACGGTTTTCACACGGAGCCATTGGAATTCCGTCCCTGCCGAGCTCGCAACATCAGGGGCCGAGCTCGCCATCTGTCTCGGGGCGCGCCTCTCGCATACGTAGTCCGCCATGGCCTTCCCCACTCGTCGTAGCTCCAACTCGGAGAACGTGAATCCCATGGGCAGCTTGGAGTTGAGAGGACCAAGGCAGTGGGTGAACCCTTCGTCTCAGAAGGAATACATGCTTTGACCCATCCACTGAAACCCATGCCGGAGAACCCAGGCATGCCAAGAAGAGGAGGGGTGGCTTGGACATCTTGAAAGATCTCCCGATTTTCCTTCTAAAGCGCATAAGATAGGAACCTTCGGGCGTGGGATCCCCATAACGCTCACTCGTTCTGCATGTCAACACTGTTGAACAAAGCATATGCCAGCCGCCCAGGACTCTGATGCTTCCCCAGCGAGACTAGATAACTACCCGTTGAGTTGCACATGTCAACTATATATAGCCAGCTTGGCTGAGATGATAGTTGCCAACATAGAAAGGGAAGGGACCTAGACGCCACAAACTGTGTGGAGAATTCTTCTGTTTGCCAAGCTCCATGAAGAAAGTTCCCTCCTCTTCCAAAGCATGGGACACGCAAACTCGAGCACGAGGGGAAACATTTTTCCTGAACATGTCCCAGACGGTTGTGGATCCCAATGGTGTTTTTAGATGTTTTTTAGGCTACGCCAGCTACGCGGCCACTCCCCTTGATTTTGGGGTTTGTCTTGTTTCATTACTCAATGACCAGGACGCTACGAACGGAGCTACGAACGGAGCGTTCGGATGCTACGAACGGGGCTCCTGGCCGTTAGAAAAAAGAATCCAAATCCAACTCCGCCGACCTGGAGTGTTGACTCCGGCGACCAGGAGTGGCACCACGGCTGGGGAACCCACGGCGCAAGGTGAGCCAGAGCGCACGCACGCGCCTGGTACAGAAGCCCCTTGCTAGCTTGTCAGAGTCTTGGTGCCAAATGGTGGGGACGTAAATGTACTTGGGAGTTGGGGCCTGGATCATGTTTTTTTTGGGCTCATCCATCAAACTAAACAATGCCGTTTGCTTCTATCTTGCATGGTGGCATGGACTACCATCCGAAGAAAAGCACCGCCGTACTGAGTTGGTCCTGTTAGAGAATCTCCGAACCTGGTTTGAAACCACCTCGCGGTGGCGGTTCCTTCCGGGAGATGTCACCGCTTTTGCCCAAGGACATCACCAACATCCCCGATGCACGAGATCGCAAAAAACCTATGCTGCGGGAGCCCTTGGCTGTGCTGCAGCCAGCACGGCCAGCGCCGGTAGTGCCAGAGGTGTTGCCCACACCCATGGACATTTGCAACACGGAAGCCATTTTGGATGCGCATGACAAGGCCGGAAGAGCTTCAAAAAGGGTCCATTCGCAGTTGTTCAATCCCATCGAGGGTCTAAAAGGCTGGTGGCTTATGGCTTTGCCGTCATAGCCCAATGAAATGATGACTTACACCCGGGAAGAGACCCACATGGAACCTGACAATTGACCTTTGGAAGACTATTTTCCTCTACAACGCAGTGATTTTCAGGTTCTATGTTAATCTTCGAGGTGCATTCTATGGAACAGCTGCCTTGGCCTCAAACGGAATTGCAAGGTCCAAGCTGTGGCAGAGTACGCCCCAGAGATCCTTGAACAGCTCTTCCTTGAAGAGGCGACGTTTATGCCGAGGCCAAACTACATGGATGCTGGGCGGCAGAGGTGACGGACGGAGCGTTCGGACGCGATGGCTCGGTGGAGGCCATCGCGTTCGGTAGGTTGGAGGCCATCGCTACCGGACGTAACAAAGACGCTACTACCATGGGCACCACCCCTGGTGCAAAACAAAGGTTTTTTGTTAACAAACATGGTTTTATACATTACAACCCGCTTTTTGAGAGGGGGGTATCAAAAACCAGGTTTTTGAGACTTCAGGATTTTGTGCTGCTGAAAGCAACCATGAATTGCAGCGGCTGATCAATTGGACACGTTCCTTTCACCCTGCAACTGCAGAACCAGTTTCCGCGTCGACGGCTAGCTAAGTCTAGCTAGGTCTGAGGGAACAAATATGTACTTACTTATTTGTGACTTAGCTTGGACTTAGCTAAGGTAGATTTAGCTTGGATTTAGATTAGACTTTGGCTCAACTGAGCTTGGCTTCCTAAGGCCTAGCCGCTAGCCAAGCACACCTTAAGTCTAAGCTAACTCCGAGAAGAGTCTTCCGACAGCTCTTGTTGCTAAATGTTGAAGGGGAAAAGTGCAACAAAATTGTTTGACTGTACTTGTCACTTCGTGTAAAGGCAATGCGTGTCAGAAAACTGTCTGGCAGGGTTCTCCCTGCACTTCAGGCTTAAACGGAATATGTGTCATTGTGAAAACCTTGTTTCCGTCAACATTTTCTAGGACTTAGATTGGAATTACTTTGGACTTACTTTGGATCGGACTTAGGTCGGGCATAGGCTGGATGTACCAAGTCCAAGCCAAGTCCAAGTCAGCCGGATGTGAAATAACTTTGAATCAGCTAAGTCAGTCAGGCCTAAGCAGTTACTTTCCAGAGTTAGCTAAGTCAAAGCTAAATCAAACCTAATCTGTGTAAAGGTTAAGAGACTTAAAACAAGGATTACTAGTAGGTTAGCAGGTTTACAACCTATATTACATATGGGTGGCAAGTTAAAGTTGAGGATATACACGGCAAGTACGGATATTGGAGCAACAATAAAGTTGTTGACCAGACTTATCCAGGAACGCATCGGCAATGAGGTGGAAATACAGGTCAGGTGGAATATGACAAATACCTCCGCTGGCATGTCAATTTCTGGATCGCGGATCTTGGAGGGGTCACCCAGTGCCAGAAGACTTGTGAGACCACAGGTTGGCGCTTGTGAGATTTGCAAGTCATGTTGCGGTAAGTGTTAGCACTGGAACAGGCCACAGGGTGGAAAACCGGGTTTTTACTCGTAGGCGACCCGTAAAAAAATCCGTAGCCGTAGAAAACCCGTAAAAAAACCCTGCACAACCCATAAAAACCCGTAGGAAAATACGTAGTTTTCCCGTAGTTTCCAACATCCTGGGATGTTGGGTTTTGAGAGGTTTTTGAATGCTCTTGGCCTGATCCGAGCGTTCCTGATCGCAGCCCAAATTGCTTGCTGGGTCGAGGGCTAGCTAAGTCTGACTAAGTCCAAGGTAGACATATTATAAGGTTTTAGTACGAGTAGTGACTTAGCTTGGACTTTGCTAAGGTAGACGTAGCTTGGATTTGGAATAAATCAATTAGGCTGAACTTAGGTTGTGTTTCCCATTATATGTCGGTCCGAGCCAAGTCTCAATCTTGGTCTAAGCGAAGCCTAAGCCAAGTCCCACCTGAGTCTATTGAAAGTTCTTCCAAATCTTACTGGGGAATATGTGTCAGAAAATTGTTTGACGGTTCTTCCCTGTACTTCAGGCTTAAGAGGAATATGTGGCATTGTCAAAAACTTGTCTGACAGATTTGCTATAGGACTTAGCTTAGACTTACTTTGGACTTGGCTTGGACTTAGGTCGGGCAAGGGTTGGACTGACTAAGTCCAAGCTAAGTCCAAGTTAGCCTTATGGTGACTTCACTTTGATGTAGCCAAGTCAGACCTAAGCACTCACTATAACCTCCATTTTAGAGTTATACAACCATTTCCAAGCTGAATCAATTCGAACCTTTACCAAGGTTAAGTGACTGACACCAGAGTTACTAGTAATCTACTGTTGCATTACGGACTTATCACCTTTAGGGTATAAGTTCAAGTTAGCCATATGATATTCCAGGATATTTCCGGCATTTGAACAAAGCCTTAATGAAGACCCTTAAAAGGTTGTGATGATTCCCGTGCTCTGTTCGCATGAGCAATTAGCCACTTCCAATAACTACAGCTACACCGTTTGTTTCCTTCAGCGAATCAATGATGTGTTTGAATACCAAATATGTACATGCATCAAGCTGTGACTGTTGCTTTCTGTGCGGATGATGTGTGGAACGGTGTTGGGAACCAAGGTCTCCTACATCCATGTAAAAAACTACAACGGAAATCATTGTCCCAAAACCGGGTTGTTCAATCCACAACCGCAAAAAAAACAGGTCGTAAGATGGTAGTTACCCCTTATGACATGCCGTTAAGACATGTTAAGACTACGTGATGGATGTTTTCTGGCAGATCCTTTGGCCAAAGGGGCCGGGGTTTCTATCTAAGAATTCCTCCCATTGGCAAGAAAAAAAGAACATTCCACGCGGTCTTCGTTCTTAGCATGTTCGTGTGTCGATTTTCCAGGACGCCCAGCATGACATCAACGGGAAGATGCGTGCCATCCTGGTCGATTGGCTCGTGGAGGTGCACATGAAATACCGCCTGCGTCCGGAGACGCTGCGGCTGGGACGCAGCGTTGGGTTCCCATGGGGTTTT